CGTGCGTGTGTCTGTCGCCAATCCACACACAGTCATTGGACTGCTTAGTCAGTCTCTGTTCCCGCGCTGTATTCTCTGCTGTATTTTATCAGAGCGATATGTATGTATGCACAGCTTAAGAGGTTATGATTAGACTGTGTTGATTTTTCGTGTACTTCTCTCGAGGGCATGTGCCTAGCGCTATTGGTCTTTGTTAGCCCTGACGACGGACTCCAAATAGCCCACACACAAGCCGGCCGTGAATCTGCGACGAAACACGCTGGCGCCTTCGAGTTACCAGGCTGTGTTCCTAGGCAATCCCCTGAGCGCATATCTAGGCTGACCTGAGATTAACCCCCATCACCCATCTGCGTCATATAGCGATTCGGATTAAGAATTTATCTAGCCGTTAGGAATGTCTTGTGAATTCTGAAGTTAGTTGACCCCCTGCCCCCCCCCCGGGAAAACCAACCCTCGTACATACTTGCGAAATCAGCACTTTTAATTCGGCTTCATATTCAACCTTTCGAAAGGAGGGAGAGAGAGAGAGAAATATGCTTTATTTTGAAGGTAATATCTAAATTGTTCAGCAAAAAATGGCTCCATTCAGGAGGAGCAAGGGATAAGGTAAGGTAAAAGGTCATAGACTATTCGAAGTTAAAGGTTTACATGCTATCCACATCTGTTATGAAGACAGGTCGGCTTTCAACTTTCCAATTTTCGTTTCTTCACGTGGGAGGTAGCGTGCTAGGAATGGGAGTACAGAGTGTTGATATGCCGATGTGCAGCAAGACTTATGACGGAAGCTTCGACGCATAGTACGGGGAGACTTTGCAGCCATTATTTCAGAGTGGGGAGGGTGAGCGGAGGTCACGATCACAAAATTGCTTGACCGTTTTAAGGTGTCGCTATATTATAAGGTCAGCTAAAAAAACACAGAAAACACCGGCAGCTGAAGAGAGCATTCAGAGGATACGGTTCAAGATGAACAGGCCTCTTTTAAGTAAAGCTGGGGAAATAACTGGCGAACAGTAAAGATTGAGGACTGTTAATTGTGTCCCAAAAGTGACTGAATTGAGAGGCATCGTAGCAGAGACTCCGCTAATCGGTCGGAGTCTTCGCATGTATACTACATATCTGAATAAGATTAGCTATTCAAGATTTAACGCTACTGTCGACTGATCTTATAATCCTCGTAATTTAAAGTTATTTTTGGTGGTCCGTCTTTAGTATTTTCAACTAAAGCTACTGCCCTAGGCTGGTTTTATAAACGGAATATGTGCATCCCTCCTTTCCTGCCTTGAATCTTCAATCACCTAGGCACGAGCGTTTAATAAGTTAGAGACCTGTTACCAACGAAAGGTAGGAGAGTCTGGACTGTTCGTCATCATGTAACCGCCTGTAAGGACTCCAGCTCGGAGTTCCAAGGCCGCGAAATTAACGCATCCCAAAATCGACTCCTGGATGACGATCCCGCGTAACCCTCAGTCGTTTTTCCGTCAGATTGTGGGCCATTGATGCAACTGATAGAGTTTTTGTCTCAGTGGTCAACTCAACCCCAAACTTTCTCGGTCTACGACTGACGGTTGACGACGAATAATACGCGGTAAATGGCCGTCCCAGTACCGCTCGCATTTGCTGTCGGTAACAACACCATCCCAGTTTATGCGCCTGCTAAATTTTGTTGCCCCTGTATACCCTCTAGAATTTCACATTCTTCATCAACTGCAAGCTTGGTCGCTCCCTATAACACAACAAAGTTTATACCGGCTGGTAAAGCATACGTAGGTCTAGAGAGAATTACGTGTTCCTCTTGCTTTCCACGTTCTTCGGCGGTCCTAGTCGACGATTAGGAAGGTCGTTGCCTCCCCGCTCCGGTTTCTGAACTGAATGCTGTTTTAAATGTAGCCAAAGTTGCGATATCGCCTTGTGTGAGTCCTCGAGAAAGAACACGACAAAAAGTGCGCAACAGTAGAATTCTTTTTTTATATCTAGTACAGAGTACTTATAGCAAGCAAAGCATACAAGAGTGGACCAATCAAATTGTGTCCTTGAGGGTTAACATTCTGACTGACTGACCGTCGAGCTGGCCGGCGTGATAGCACAGACCACTAATCATGGACGGCGGTTTGATCGATCTCATCGATCGGCTTGTACCGATCGATAGTGCACCGTTGGACGAGTAATCGGGACAGCGTGATAACGTGTCGTTTG